AGGAGCTGACTTTGTGATTACGCTGCGATCTTTATGAATGGAATAACAGAGAGCGGTGTTAAATCCTCCTGATGGAGGCGAGGGTGTGCTGGGTGGAGCCCTCCCAGGTGACGGAGGAGATGAAAGACTGGAGATAATTAAGGAACTGCCTCGACTCTTTCTCTACTCACACGGCTGTTTCATTAAAGGAAGTTCTGTAAGGACAAATATAATATAAACTACCAGCCTGTGCCTCTGAATAGAAATCGTGTGTGTGTGTGTGTGTGTGTGTGTGTGTGTGTGTGTGTGTGTGTGTGTGTGTGTGTGTGTGTGTGTGTGTGTGTGTGTGTGTGTTTATCAGCAGCTCAGGGGGGCGTGATGATGGCGGCTGCTCACTTTTACACCAAATGTTCTGCTCTGATGGTCTCTGGGGAAATTACTGAACACATGAACTCATGAACAACGGAAGTTACTTTCACGTTTATACTGCACTGTGTACATGATGCCTGTTTGTAAATGCTATTTTATAATGTGTTTCTTCTGTATTTATTCTTAAATGTCTTTTATTTTAATTTGTAAAGCACTTTGAATTGCCGTGTGCTGAAAGGTGCTATATAAACTTGTACGTACACAATTATACTGCTGTATGTATACATCACAAATATAACATTTAAAAAACTGAAATAGCCTTTTCTGTTTGAGATCAATAGCGATACTTGAAGCCTATTTAAAAAAAAAAATTAAAATAACTTCTTTGCTTTAGCTTCAGTTTTCTGTATGTGAGAGAAGGCATGAGTATTGTCTAAATATTTAATTATATTTTAAGTTATTCATGTGTATTCATTCATATATCTCTTATTGGTTTTGTGAGTAGAATGTGCAAAAAAAAGGGTGTTCAACTGTTTTTCATTCACTGCAAGTACTGCAGTTTTAACACAAATATTAAACAAATAAGTTAATGTACATGTATAGAGCAATACAGCATACCAACCTGGACAATTTCTTTATCTTGCCCTTTTTTAAACACATTTCTTCTTCAAATGCCATGATTGGCTTTTAATGTCACTATTCATTTCAAAAGATGTGGGTGTGTACTGGTGGTCAGACTAATTGTGCTATAATTAGTGACTTCTGAAAGGATATTGAGTCAGGTTTAAACAATAATAGATTTTAGTGGTGGCAAAATCAAACGATCCTGCAGTGAGTACAGAGGAAAGTGTCTGACGTTGTAAATGCAGCATGTTTTCATTACCGGTGTAAAATGTGTATCTGTTGGAGTTGTTCAGATGGAAGCATCTCTCACGTGGATCCAAAGATGAGTGTGCAGCCTCGTGCAGTTTGGAGGATGCTTTTATCCAAAATGCCTGACACAACCTGCAGCCACATATATTTTGTAAGATGAATAAACCCGGAGAGGAGAATAACACTTTCATTGACTGAAACATGTTGAAATGTTTTCAGCACAGAAATGTTGCCTGAGCATAAATCCTTTAGAGAAAATGGCTATCCATCGGTGAGGCACTGAATGTGTTCTGGTTGTGAATTTGGTAAACATGTGTGTGACATTTCTTTACAGATGAGTTATTTTGAAATGTTGTAATGTTCACATCTGACCTTGAAGGCACTAAAGAAAGTTTCCTTGTGAATCTGAACTCTTTGTCAATGAACTGGGTATGCTTTTTAAAAACGAAAAGTGAGAAACATTAAAGAAGACACTGGTTTGGGTCAGTTTCTTTGTGCTCCAATATTATAAACATATATCTGGGACTCACAGTACACAGATATTATTTTAGACAAATTATATTTGTATGACATAGTTTACAATTACAAATACTTATTTTTATACATATGCATGATATAGACTTACAACTGTACTATGACTTCTATACTGTGAGTTTTTCACTATATTATCATATTATGTTATATTTCTAGTAAAGTATGTCAAAACAAGTATTACAAAATAGTCATATTGTATACTATGTTATCACAATGTAAATAAATGGCCATAGTATAGTATGTCTAAAAATATATTAATAGCATATCATATGGGGCGGAGTGGCGTAGTGTGCTGGGCAAGACACTTCACCTGAATTTGCTCCTGTGGGTATTGTCCACAGTAAATGACCATTGTGTATTTGTAAAGTGCTTTGAGCTCTGGCGCTATGATAAATATAAGGAATTGTTATACAAAAATAAAAGTTATATTATAGTAAAAAAAACATAATATACTATGACTGTTTTTTTCATTTATATAATATAATTTAATTTAGTTTTATCCACATATCATAAATACTATACTTTTTTTTAAGACATTTTTTTATGAATTATTTTACAGTGATTTTATTTGACATACTAAACTCTTCCACGCTACTATTTATACTTCAATGACATATATCCTATGACTTTTATTTTTTATAGAAAATCATGTCCTTAAAAAAGTCACATTAATTCATACTATACTATTCATATGTAATGACATTCTATAATATTTGGAAATTGTAATACTTTACTTCCACCCATTTATTTTTTTATCAATTTATGACACACTTTACCGTTTTCGATGTTATGACATACTATCCTGACTATAACTTGCTTAGTATATATTTGACAGATGTCTTTATATTATACTGTTCCATACTCCTTTTATGAAATACTTTACTGTGATTTGTTTTATGCATTAAAGGTTGGGTAGGTAATTTACTTCAGAAATACTTTTTGTTATATTCCATGGAATGCATTAACATCCCGATAGCAATGAATACATTAAATGCTTTGACAATAAATACATAAGAAAATGTCATCTGTGGAAGCCGTGGCGCTGTAAAAAGCACGACCAATCATCTGAGCCGGCCCGGCTAAAATAACTGGATGGCCTACCTGCCTGTCAGCCTTCCATCTGTGCACAAACTTATCTCGTGCCCTCATTGGTCATGTGCGCGTTCGTGTGTGTTGGAGGAGGGGCTCTGTAAGGAAGTCTGAAGGAAGGGGCAGATTTTTTCCGGTTGTGTCTTTTCAAATTCTAGCGCACTCGAGCTGGTTTCTCCATTCTTACCAACCCTACCTTTAAGAAAGGTCTGTCATAAAGACCTCATTAAAAAAAATCACTGTATAACATGGTTTCTTTTAAGTTACTCTGGCATTTCTTGTGACATACTATACCATGCCATTTTATGCCACTCGTTTATTTTAAATAATATTATATTTGTATGACTTACTTCTCAGACTTTTTTTCAAAGACCTAGTGCAGGGGTACTCAAATACAAATCTTAAAGGTCCAACATTTTCTTTTCAATAAGACAAAGGTCCGTTTATTACGGTCATTCACACGAGGTTGCAAAAACAAAAATAATCTGTATGCAGCAGTTTTCATTGTTATTGTGTCTGTGCTTGATCCCTCAGGGTCGCAGTGCAGCTGCAGTTATGAATAAAGGCAGCTGCACCCTCTTTCATTCAGCATTACNTTAATGAAACCAGTTCAATACGCATTATTCTTATTCTTATCATTCTTTATGAGTAAGGTACAATTACTTATTTATTTAGTATTCCATAACTTAGTAACAGAGATGGTCAAACTGAAGTGGTAGAGAAATGGCAGAAATCCTACAATGAAGCGGGGCAGTGAAGTGTTCACCCGTGAGAAGGCGATCAAGAAAAGAGAGCGAACGGCACCGTTGAGGGGAGTTTACAGATGAAAGGACACAGGAAGAGAGGAAGCACATAACAACAACGTATTAGGCTATATTTATGTGTTCTTTTTGTAAATAATCCGACGCGTATCAAAGAGGGAAGTAAGTCCCTTGGTTTGTCCCTTATACCCTAACGCCATGAGAACAAACTCAAAATCAAGTTTCCAAAATGAAATTTCTCGATACTGAGGTGGTCTTAACGCACCGGCAGATGACAGCGCTGACAAAGTGTGATTTTCCCGCAGCGAGACGTACAATACTGGGCTTATCATGTTGATTTCGGCAACCACAAACTCTCGCTCTCTCCAGAGGGGCAGGTCAGCCAAAAAGGCCAAACGGGCCGTTGCCCGGGCAACATTAGCCCTTACCTGTGCACGTCCCTGCCCATGCTGCATGCCCTGCTCTCTTTGTGATTAAGGTTAGAGATCTTCATGTTTAACAATTGTTTTTTCTCTGTTTGCTAATTACAATTATACGTCATGCCTCTGCAAGATACACAGACCCGAAGGCACAACTGAGCCTTGACCTTGTTCTTGAAGCATAATAATTGGCAACCGGCTGTTTTAACTCCTAAAGGAAACGTGTCAATGTGTGATTTGTGTTCCAGGATGTAATGAGGAAACAAAGAAACAATAACACACTTTCTTTCATGGTCTATTTTTTATTGTTGGGTAAAATGACAAGCGTGTTTTCTCTATATAAATAACAATCACATGAAGGAACATACAGACATGGCTATGTTGCGGTGAAAGCGGTGATAGTGATCACAAGGTGCCCGTACAGGATGCAGATAATGAAAGCTGTGTGTTGTGTTTTCATTTCTTAAAAAGGAGAGTGTTGATTATGAACAGAACCTGGGTCAATCTGTACATACAATGGGAAAGTAATGGACTCACAGTCCACCGCTATGTACAGAACATAAATAGAGAGAAATGGTCAGAGGTCATCATCAGCAGTGCAGTACAGTCGGGTTTAAAGGTTGGAAATCAAATTAAAATATATACGAGTTAAGATTAAACGGGAGAGACGGAATGACTTTATATAATCTGTACAACTCAAAAGTCCTTACTAAATCTGAATACAGTTGCCCATTGTGATTCACAGAGTCAGAGTGCTAGGGTGAAAATGCATAGAAATATGTCCAGCTAGGAAACCGCTTCACTCTCCGGCTACGTGTCAAAGACCCTCTACTTAAATACAACCCCACCCTCATTACTTCACATCGAAACATGCTGCAAATGCATGTCATCAAAAGCTCACTCTAAATGCTTTTCCTATCTTCTTTTCTTTTGGTCCAGAGATGTTAAAGTTATGATTTTCTTCCCACACACTAGTGCTCTAAATCCCTAGTTTCACAATGTGGAGTGTATAAAGCTGGTACGATTAAACTAACACTGCCACCGACTCTCATTTTAAACAATAAAGATATCATTCAGAACCGACCAACGCTGGTTATACATTTTGGATTAAAGGTTACAGAGCGTAATGTCCACTTCAAACGGGATAGGATCACAGCGAGGGCTCGTTTTAACTAGACTGAATCAGGGACGGGCGGAGAGACGAGAGCACTGGGTCTGTGAGGAACCACGCTCACCACGAATGGAGGGTCAAAGGACGAGGTGCAGTCGGCAGTCACACGGGGAATAATTACGCTAATTCCTCTGACGGAGGGGAATTTTCCTTGAAGGCACAGGAAAAAGTTGGGATGGGAAAACTAAAAGTACAAGAGTAAATTCGCACATATACAGTTCATAGATATATATCTATTTCTGCCAATTCAGATAGATATTAGTTTTGTTCAGAGATTATCTACAGCATTCCCACACACTAAATATAACCAATTGTGAATAATAATGCAACGTTGCACATGTTTACCAATTTTCCTGAAAAAGATCACCAGCAATAACTTTATGTTGACTTTAATGTGAACCACCCATGATTAACTTGGCTTTAAGACATTAACAATCAATTACTCCCTCATGTGTTTTTTCTTTTTATACAAATCTTCAATTTGGTTTCTGAATCTGTTGTATCCACTATCACGTTCCCACAAAATTAAAACATCTGCAACAGAATTCAGTGCAACAGTACCTTTTGAGTGAAACAAAGCTCATTGGGCGTTCTAAGACTCGCCGACCCACACCACCACGTTGCCTTTGAGGACGTCGGTGATCTCGCAGTTGAGCTTGTTGAGCCGTCCGTCCAGAACGAAGAGGGAGTCTCGGGAGGGGGTCATGAGGTACTGTCCGAACAGACCGCTGCCGGCCATCACCCTGTTCCTGCCGCTCCACGGCCACTCGAACGCCTTGGTGGCCTCCTTCAGGCTCTTGATCATCTTCACTTTGCCGCTGCTCAGCTCCACGAACAGAGCGTCCGTCTGGCGTCCCGAGCTGCCGAACACGTTGTACTGGTGGAGCTCGGTGAAGGAGCGCTGGAAGGCCAGGTCGGACAGGTGGAGGTTGGTGTGGATGTCGAAGGGCTCCTGGATCTCTCCGCGCTCCGAGATCACCTGGATCCTCATCAGGCCGTCGCGGTCGTCCACGGTTACCAGGTAGTGGCCGTCCGGAGACACGTACGGCGTGCCGGTGACGTCTCCGTTCTGTCCGATCAAGCTGTCCGTCACACTGTCCACGACGAGCTGCGGCTGCGAGGCGCCGGTGGAGTCGGGCCTGCAGTTGACAAAGTAATAACCGCCGAGGTGTGTGTAGGCTACGGACTTGGGGATGCAGTTGAACTCCCGTAGGCTGATGTTTTTCACATAGGACATGGTCTCCAGGTCGATCTTGTGGAGGACAGGCTCATTTCTGTGAAGGATGAGGCCATATCTGTAGGCAAGAGAAAAACAGAGACAATTATTTAATCAATATCACATTTTGACTTCTTGTGAAGGCGAAATTGTAACAGATTTTCGGCCATGTTAACATCATGGCTCTAGAGATGGCAATCGATTGAATGACATCTTTAGTCCAGAACAAGTCCAACATATATTGGATCGAGAGCCATCGAATTTTGTGAAGAGATCCATGAGAATGATCCTTAATATCCAATGTTATGTTTTAAACATATCTGATCATTTAATGAGTAAAATACCGCCATCCCATCATCTCCGCTTAGTGCTACCTAGCATGCTTAACATTCTTAACAAAGACGGTCGAAAGGGAAACATTTTACCTCTTAAATCTAACCTTGGCTGAAGTGTTTAAGAGAATCTAACAATTAAACCGGACAGCCACACTTCACAAGAAACACAATGAACTAAAAATACATTTTAATTGTGTGCAACAACACTCTTCTTAGACAAGACGCCAAAGTAAAAGCAATCATGCATTGTGTTAGAACATCCACTTATAAGTCAGGAATGTGCCAGAAAAAAAAGTAGTGATTCATTTTGCTTAAAAATAAATGCACATATCAACTTAAAGTACCTATCACTTTCGCTTGGTATTGTTAGACTGGCAGATGTTAAGGGAACAATCCAAGTTATCTGAGAGATCCATTAAACTAATAGCAGTGGTCCCTTTCAATCTTCACATTGACAGCCTAGCATCATCTACACTTTCCCCTCTAATAGAATTATTGCAGTTTTATATGTGGCCATGGATCAGTGGGAAAACTATTCATTAGAAAAACCCAAAGAATCCTAATGGCACATTATCTTTTAACAGCTGAACAAGTAGACGGGTAATATGCAAGGAGCCGGCAGGCCTCAATTAAATGGGAATACCAACTGATCGATGCTGACAGCCACTTCAATCTTGCCGTCATTCATCATTTTTCATGCCATTTGAACACCTAGCTGTCTGTACCTGCGAACAGAAAATGGCTGTTCGAAAGCCACATTATTATCCCCACGGAGGGAGCCATTGATCCAGAGATCGTTCTGACCACTGGGTCCAGACAGGAGGCAGCGCTGAGCTGATTCAGACAAAAATGCGGAGAATATAAAGGTGATCTTTAAAATGGTGTGATGCCAGGTAGAAGCTTTTCGGATTACGTCCAAATTGTATTCCAAATGTCTTTACCCTTTCGAAGAATTGTTGTCCTTGGACTATCTGGTGGGTTTCTGGCATGTCAAAGAGTGTGTTAGGATTTCTTGCAGTTGCAGTAGTTCTGTGATTTCCCACAAACATCCGCTATAAATGATGGTGAGCTTGTTTGAACAGTATTAGAATATTTCTCCTTTGTTTACACTTAAGAAATGGAACTTAATGAAGGCATTTAAAATAGAAAACTATAATTGATGATTTGCTTTTAGCTAACGGTGCTAACCTGAGGGAGAATCCAGGGTTGTGGGTTCTGCTTTTCTACACGACTCCCCTATATCTTATATAGCTAGGCTGTGTGTGCCGCTTTAATAATGCTGTGAATGACATAGAACATTTAACAACGAGGAGGTTGTATGTCTTGACTTTATGTGAAAACCAACCAAATTGGCTTTATGTGACTGTTATCTGTCAGTTGGAATAAATCCAAACACAAGCGCTCTGACACTTATCATGTTCTTGATTGTAGTTTACCCCACCTTTATCATTATAAAAAGCTCCAAAAGACAAACACTCTTTTATTTTTAAATGTCCTGTGCAGTTTAAACCCGACTCCACTGTGGATTTAAAGACCAATATTCCCGCTCCGTCAAACTCTGCTGAGAAAGCTTTCCCATGGATTGGATGTAATCTGTTGTGACAGATCACTGGGCAGCACACACTTACTGTGATATTTTGCAACATGCTTGGAAGTTAAAGGTCAATGCTGCATTGATCCTGCTATGAAAAGATTATTTTCACCAGCAGCAGGATGTGTTTTCATGTATTGTAAATTAATAATCAGACATTGTTTGGCCTCACACACAGCTGGGTTGCTTGGTTGGCAGATGCAGATTGCTCTCAGCAAACTGACAGCTGCTGTTTGTCTTTTGTGCCGATGATTAATACATGAAAGATTCCCCCTGCTCTGACAACAGGGCTACGTTTAACTAAAGACACATATTCATGACAATATTTTCACTTTACAAAGTGACTGGGTCTCAACACTTTGGTCTGCAGTCCAGTTAAAGCTCCTGAGGGCTAAATTAATAAACAGGGAATAGAACGATAACTGCTGCATAGTTACAAATATCGGTAACACAGCAATTCTTGTTCAGCTGGTGAAAAAACAACAAATCAACATCTCCCCCGGCTTGTTGTGACTCGTGAGGCAGGCGGAGGAAAGGTGCAGGGTGCTGTACAGCGAGTACAAATAATAAACAACAGGGTTTTCTGCTGACATGCAGAGTTCATAAAAAAATGACATGTAATGTAGGTCGATGGTTTAATGGATGACAGCCCCCAGAAGTTCCTGCTTGCTTTATAGTTGCTGCTGAGGGAATCCAGAGTCATTAAACAATCCCCGGAAGTTGCTGAATATATGTCTGCTGCTCACACTCTGCTCATGTTGCTAAATCGTCTAATCAATGCTGCGTTCCTGCCAACAGACAAATGGCTGTCTGGGTACAAGACCCGGAAATATACAAATCTGGCCCACGGGGCAGGACGTTTCAGCTTCAAGTTTCTGCAAAACAACAACATGCATGCACACATTGATCTAAAGCTCTATGTGTACTTCAGCTGTATACTTTTGAATGTTCAGAGTAAATATACAGATTATGTCACCGTGTAAACAAGTCTAAATGATGAGTTTGGAACAACATTGGAACATGCAGAGCCAACTCTAAACTAAATGTGCTTCCTCCATCTGCCTCGGCATAATGCAGCGAATCACATCATGAACAGAGACCCGAGCTAGACAGAATAAACCATCACTGAGGACATGAGGTGGAAACGTTTCTATAACTTTGACACAATCCAAGAAAACATCCCTCTGCAGTACGGGCTAAATAAACCGTTTTATGTACTTTATGAAGAAACACTTCAGAAAGCTGTGCATATTGCAGGACTAGTGTAATGTGTGGACTACATTACTTGGTGCCGGTTGTAATTTTTTTGGTCGACTGTAAGTACGTTTTTTTTAATAGCTTCGAAATAATGAGAATTTGCTGTAAAATGAATATCTTTAGAATTTATACAGTCAAACTTTTGAAAGGTTACAATGGCAATGTTTCCAGTTTTCTGACTAAACTACTAAACGTAATAATTTGTCATTTTCTGTAAAATAAATACAAACACTTCTGTGACAAAATGACCTAATACCAGTTAAAGTTGCTATTTGGTCTTCATGCTTGTAAAGGTGAATACATCAACTACCAGGCAATGAGCGGACCAATGTAAGATGCAAAACATTCAAACAATGTAAAAGTATTTCTTTAGGTTGCCACTTAAACTTATTTGAATGGACCTGGCAGTAGCAGTTAAAATATATTTTCTAAGAGTTTTTGATGAGCAACTAGTCGGTAAAGATGGCAATTTCCAAACACCACTGTTTTGTTTCCTGCAGGTCTCACTGGGTCTGATTACAGCCGAGGCAGAAAACCCCCCACACCACCCTGGACCCTCACTAGGGGAACGTTAACATCCGGAAGTCCTGCAGACCTCCTGCTTGTTCCTGGACTCTCAGTCTAACGTTAGGGACCGACTTTACTGTCCAAGTGTAACCTGAGTGAGACGACCTCAGCAGCATCTCTGTGCTCGACTAACTGACATGTCAGAGGAGGAAAAGTGCCCACTGTCCCCTTGTGGAAACATATAGCTTTATAATTGGGGCAATAAACATAAATAATTAATGCAAGACTAAGTGCACTAATGGCCTATTGAATTACTTTTATTGGGAAAAGAACCTGCCTCTAACCATATGCCAACAAACCTCAGCATCACCACTGAGGAGGTGTTGCGATTCAATCAATGTGTCTCTGATAATGTTTAAGAGAAAAATGCCAGCAGCTATTCACATTCTGTTTAATTCAGTTTTTTTAAGTTTATAAAAACTGTGTGTGTATGTACTTTTAAAGAACGAGCAAACACAAATCTGCATGGCTTTTGAAACGAGCCAGAGCTGAGTTACTGCTGCATGTACTCATCATGCTGGTGCTTAGCAACATAATTGCACTGCCTACCTTTGTGTTAGAAACATAGCTGGTTACAGTAGTTTGCTCAAACAATGAGAACATTCTCCACAGCACTCAGGTTTCTCACAACATAAAACCAAAAAAGAAAATGGCGAATAAATATCTGCAAATGTGCCATTATGACCTGACATTTTGAAGACTAAGAAATGAATGAAGCAAATAGGCATTAGCCGTAGTCTTTGTGGCTTAAAGATCAGTCTTATGAAAACCTAATCTGTCTGAAAGCTTCTCATGTTGAAGGTTGTTTTGATTTTTTAACCTTCGCTCACTTTTTCTCAGAGAAAGTGTTCATCCCTTAGATCTAACTATTCTGATAGCAAAACAATAACAAGTGGTGTGTGAAGCTTAACTCAAACAACCTTTCTGTGTCTATTTGGAGAAGTGTGCACGAAAGCAGCTCTAAGAAATAGATTTGTTTCTTCGATGTGATACATTTTTAATCAAGAACATGTTCTATGGGGATCAGTGTTAGTAACTGGCTTCTGGATTTTAAAATGGGATATAAAAAGTTAATTCCACAGCTAATGTAACTAAGGGTTTATTTTTAGATCTTTTCCAGGTGATTGGCTACGGTTTCTTCAGCACAGACGACCGCTGGGCCGTTCTCCAAAAAACTCCCATTAACGCCGTAACAGAGCGGCACACACGCTCAGTTTCACACCAAATGCCCGTCCAAATCATTATCACAGTATTGAGCCTAGCAGAAAAAAAATTGAATGAAATGCCAATGGGGTGAATGTAATTTGCAAATCAATTTGCATTAGCAGCGCTCTTGGATCCTGCCGGACGCACCTGATGTGGTTAATGATGAGGCTGGAGGCGGGGAGGAAGAAGTCGTCCACCCGGTCGAAGCGTCTGCCGATGGGCTGCGTGTGAACCGTGTGATGGGAGACTCGCCCACTGGCCTGATTGATCACCTGGTGAGCACCAACGAAGAAGAAGGTGGGCGTTAAATATGAGCGTGATGAATACAGTCAGTGCTGCAGGTTTAAGTCTTTAAGTCACACTGTAGCTTATAACGTGTAGCTTATGAGTTCTTGTAGTTGAATATACATATCATAATGTTAAAAAGGAAAAACTAGGCATTTATTAGGTCATTTACATGATAAGAGTTATTATTATGAGGTTATCATGTGTTGCTAAGAAAAAAACTTAAAATGAGTTTAGGTAAAATTTGTATTGGAGTATCAGCAGTAATTAACATACAGCTTAGAAAAGATCATGATCACATATCTTAAACAATAACTGAGGAGGTCTTATTCTGCTGATGTTCAGGTGTATATCAGTATTTAGTGCCTCTACTGTCTCCATGCTTTAATGTTCAAAAAGCTCTTTATTTTTCTCATCCTGCCTGTGCTGCAGCACCTCTTTTCACCCTCTGTCTGAAACCAGAGCCCAGTCTGCTCTGATTGGTTAGCTGGCTGGCTCTGTTGTGATTTGTCAACCGCTTAGAGATGTCCCGCCTCTTAGCCTATCACGCACAATGTGTTGGAGCGCTAGCCAATAGAAGCGCTAAGTGTTACATATAATTGTAGCCTTTGCAGACCATTCACATGCACACAAACCTACATAACACTCTCTACAGGGAAAGCGGAAACATATAAATAGGGCCTCTTTAAATTATATATGTTTTTGTCGCACTATGGATATCAGCACTTTATCTCATTCCAAATATGCTGGAGCTTAAACAATTGGAAATGTGTCACTCTCCAAATATTTACCCAGTGAACTGAAAGTGATTATTAAGCGCCTCTCATCAAGCAAGAAAAACAAATCCAGGATTGGAAATCCCTGAGAGGCTGCAATGATTACTGCAACATTCATTCCATATTGGGACAAAGGGAAAATCTGGTCATTTGAATAGTTAGTCCCCGGAGAAGACAGTCATTTTTCGGGTGATTTGAAATAAACTGTACTTGTGTTGCTGAGAAAAAGTTGTTGCAGGTAAAATAAAGAGAGAACGTAACTAATCATTGTGTTTGTATAACTATTACATTGTTTTGTTGACAAACCTTTATATCAGAGTCTATGTAAAGAAATCATTTTTGATTGATTGTAATCAGCGCTTGTCGACTGATGTGAAATGTTTTTTATAATGATGTTAATCTATTCAAATCAGTACACGTCATGACTTAATCGTTTGAGTCCCTTTTGAAGCAATGCCAAACGTTTTGCTAAAATAAGCTTAAAGGAATACTTGTCATTATTTTTGATGTCATGTAAGATTGTCATTCTTTAAAAGCAGTGACCAGTTCATTTATTGCTATTATGTAGATTTCTGATGTGAGATACAAGCCCTCAGTCTTTTCCCTTATTTCTGAGGTGTGTGAGCTTCAGAGTGTGTGCTGTTGTCCCCACTTTCTAAATAACACTTGTGCATGCAGAGCAGACATGTGATCAGTGTGCAGGTCTGCTTTGATTGTGCCACAATACACAAAGCTAATTTCCACAGACCAAACCTTGCTTTATGAATTTGTGTGCAGGCGATGAAAAGCAGTAAGTAAAACCACTCGAGCTGCATCGAGATGAGCCTCAGAGGAAGAAAAATATGTTTTTATTTGAAATGTATTACCATTTCATTACATATTTATTGATTCTATTTATAGCATGATCTTCAGATCTGTATCAGGATGACACAGTCTGTAAGTGTAAGGAAGGTCACTTCTATTCAACATGAAGTTGTTTACACCAATATTAAGATAACATTATATGACTTCTAACCATGATTTTGACCTGCTGAAACATATATAAATATTCAACTATTTCCCTGTTCGGCTATCATTGATGTGACCACTATGGTGGACCGCTATGCTGGGTAATTGGTCTTGTTGATGTTCTAGCGTTTAGCAGTGAATTGTCCTTTGTTTATCTCTGTGCCAGAGAGAATCAGGCTTTTATTTTTCATTTCCTCAGTTGATGCAAAATCAAACCCTCCTCCATGTTTACCTGCTGACTTGTTAGATCAGTAAAGTGTCCATGTCCTACACAATCATTCAAATGTGACTTTTCTATTTCCTAAACAATAAACTCTTCCCTTAGACTTTTAATGTAAAACAGCTTTGAGTATTGTTCACATTCGTTTAAAATCTTTCACAGGTCTGTTTAAGAAGATACAATTAATTTGAGTTTGGAAACTTTATTTCTGTGTCACTCTTTAAGCAAGGATGCCAAACTAGTTGAGCTAGTTACATTTCTGATTAATACTTGTAATGAAAGATGTATTGTTGATGTTAAGTAAGATTTAATTTGCTGATTATTGTGTTTCCAATGGCTTGACCTTGATAAATAAAGAATTCAACATTTTGATATTGTTAACAGCACTAGATGGTGAATCAGTTGAAACATTTGAGTTTTTCAATATTTGTAGGACATTGCAATCTAAAGCCATCACTTTGGTCGCGATGGAAATGTGTTATCACTCGTGAAAATAATTAACATATTTTGTGATATGTTGTCAAGAAGACACACACACATATTCCAGCCCTTTGCAAATTCACTTTTGATCAAATCCTGACAATGCTGAACGTCATCATATCAGTGCTTGAGTATCTCATTCTCTGCCTTTTCACAGGGATACATCTCTGCAGAGATACTGATACATATCATGTGGGGTTTTATTCAGGAAATGGTGGACTCACCTGGAGAGTGGGGAAGTTCTTCTCCACATCTCCCCAGCTCAGCAGCCACACCTGGTCATGAGATTTGTCGTAGTGAAGCTTCACGGGATAAGGGTCGGTGCTGAAAGTCTGATGGGACCACACACACACACACACACACACACACACACACACACACACACACACACACACACACACACACACACACACACACACACACACACACACACACACACACACACACACACACACACACACACACACACACACACACACACACGATCAAACCAAACTGAGCCTTTTAAGACAGCAGGTCCACAGAATAACAATTCAAGGCAATCTAGACTTTGCTTTTGAAGAGATCCTTCTTTGATGTGCAGTGGTAATGCTTTTGGAAAGTTTTGCTGCAAACTAATGCATCAGGGGTTGACAGGAGCGGCGCTCCTTTAACAAGGCTGTGTGGAGGTGGGCTTTTTACGTAGAAGGTGTTTTTGCTGTCGAGCTGCATAGCAAATCAAGTGGTGACAGACACAATTTCTTCACCACACTGAAATAATGGCTTTCAGTATTTATCCGACACACGGCGGCAATACTCAGAGAGAACAATGGATGAGTCGCATGTGACAGAAAGCCCTCCTCATGCATTATGTCCACCTGAAAGCAGACAGCTCAAAGAGAATAGGCAGATCACAGGGGACAAGCATGCATGCAGTAGCTAACAACAGCGAGAGAAAGCAATCATCTTTTTTAAAAGAAAATTATTGCCAGCCTGTATTCCCACAATCCCCTTTGACTTACTTTCTTTGCTATTTGCTTCGCAGCACTAATAGTATTGTTTACCTAGGCAAAATATATATTGTATCACTGAGCGCTAACAGCTCCTCAGAGGTTTATTGCACATAAGATGAGGATATCTGTTGAATCCTAACTAATCTCTGAGCATGTAGTCATCGGAGGGAACAGGTGTTGTTCTTTTCTCTTACTAACAACTTTCTTCCGGCTGAGGAAGGTTATGAAGATCTGCATCCCATATGTTTGTGTAACTTTATGATCTGACAGCGAAGAAGAGCGGAAAAACTCATCACAGCGCCGCCAAACATTTACCCGTGTGCATTTTGCAATTAATTGGTAATAACACGCAAAAAATACAATCTGCTCATTAAAAAAAAGTCTTCACCGAGCATTTAATTGGTTACAAATTTCAGGATGCTATTTTGCTATTTGCTCATTATTATGACTTTACGCACGTCAATCATATTAATAATTCAGTGAAACCTGGAACTGGAAAGCCAAAACTCGTGTCTCTCGTACCATTCCAGACGAAAGGCGGGTTCAGGTCGTTAATTAACAACTGCTAATATAATGCGATGAAGCTAAAGCTCCAGGCACCTGAATAATGAGCCTGTGACAGTCTCTGGGAGCCAACCTGTTTACTGGCAGGTCCCCGAGAGGCTGGCAATCTGTAAACAGCCAACACGGTGTCAGGAACATCTGCAGGGATCTGTGCAGCCCTGGATTACCATGGCACTCCCCGAAATGTACTGACACCCAGGATTTAACTCGGCGCTGCTCGCTAGAAATGTGCTGAATGTTGTTGTGTAGGAAAGGAGCTCCTTCCTGAGAATGCCTCGCAAATATAAAATTCCCTCAGGAAAATAAATGGTGCTGCAGGGAGGCAGAGACTTAGAGGAATTGCTTCTTGCTGCAGTTGTTAAAATATCTATGAAGGGTTGCCAGGTTACTGTATCCGTGAGTCTTGGGGTTACTTGGTTACCACATCGATGGGGCGGTTAAGTGTAGGTCCTGACTTCAGCGGTAAGTATGAAACCGGTCAGGTCAGTGGTGAGCAGGTGAACTAACGGATGGATAAACAGCACTCCAGATCGATACCCTTACAGGGCTTTGGAGTGGAAACAAAAACACAGTAGGGGGGTTTATCAAACCTGAATTCATTTTACATTATTATATTAAATTCATAAAGTCAACATGTGTGGGTAAATACAATTATACATCAAATACATTTTAACAATAAATAATTATTGAGTGGCAGCCTGGTTAATGTTTTGGAAAATGGAATGAGCAGCAGTAGATGTAAAATGTTGATTGAATGTACATCACACGTTCAGTGTTTCACACACATTGATTTATTTGTGGCGGGCCGCCACAATTAAAAAAATGGTCTAATGGATAGTGAGGTGGGCTGATGATCGGAAGGTTGTGAGTTCAAATCCCGCCTGGAACGCCACTATAGTGTGCCCTTGAGCAAGGCACTTATCCCTCAGTTACTCCAGGGAGAATGTCCCTGTGATTGGTCATTGTAAGTTGCTTTGGAATAAGGCGTCTGCTAAATGCCTCAATTATATAAATTATATTTTTGGGAGAATAAACCGCACAGATCCTCAACTCCGGTGTGTCTCACTCATTAACAACACAACACAGAGCAACAACAACGTTGTCTGCAGTAGCCATGAACTTGCATGTCTTTTCTTATTTGAGGGGGGGGTGGATGCGTGGGCCACCCGAATAGGTTAAGGGGCCTTTGGCGTTTCTTGCCGGGGGGGTTCGGTGCTCCCAACAAATAGAATCAAATTCTGTGGGAAACACTGACGTTATAATAAAAGGAGACTGTATGCATTGTAAGGTCCAAATACTAGAGGTCTTGATTTTAGTGTGACATGTTGATATTTAAACCAGCAAAATTGCAGATTAAAAACTTTAATGCTGCTATTTTTCTACATTGCTAAAAAAGGTAAGCTGTTACGGAAAGGTTGCAAATCAGAACAGCGCTTAATGGCAACAACATTTTGACATCTATCATTATCAGGTAGAGCCTCTAATCTGATATCATTAGCAGGAACTGAAAGAACATGTAAGATTATTTAGCCATGTGTCGTTTCAAGTCAACCACCATGTCCGCAGCACACTACAGCACTCACTCTTATTTATGAGGATCCTACTAAATTATAAAACAAGTAGAATCTTTTAAGTGCAAGTGTAACTAATGCGGAAGGTGTTCCAAGAAATACAAAGTTTGAGCAAGCAGTTCAACATTCTCAAATCATAGTGAAGGACAATGTATTGTATCAAAATGAATCCTCCAGTCAAAAGGGACCATTTTGTGAAAACAGTGTCCTTCATTCCTTCAATGCTGTGTTTAAGAAATGTGGCCGTGGGAACATATGGGAGTTATTGGTTTGATTGTTAGAATAAGATGGGGAGACATAATACACTTTCCTCCTCCAACCTTGAGTTTTTTTTACCCATATGGAGGCCAAAAAAAAAAAAAAAAAACGGAAATACTCCTCATCATCAAACATTGTTGTGCGGAGCTGGCAAATCTGACATGGAACTTGTTTCCCAATTTATCCCAAACAGTACCTGGATAGCCTTCTGAGACTGGATGTCAACTATGAGCACTCGATCCAAGGTCGGCTGCGTCACATAAATAAACTTGTCCTTGATGTTGACCGCTGATGACCACACACACCTCTGAACCTCCTCTCCTGGCGAGGTGGGGCACACCTCCTCCTGGGAGAAGAAAAAACACACACGCACATTCTCAGTTAATTGTTTTTCATATCACAGGGAAACACATCTCATTAAAAAACAATTATCTTTATCCAGACGTTACTCTGTGTTGTTTACGACGAGCGGTCTTATCTCCCGTGCTGATGTGAGTCGTGTTATCTTGGCAACTTAGATAAATGAGCTTTGCAGGGTGCTGAAAAATCTCTGTAATCGCTGCTAGTTGTCCATATATAATCCACACGGCACAAAGCCTGCATACCACGGTTCAGCTTTCAGTCCTGGCAGCTCTCACGTTCCCGGCCAACAAGAACCTCAACCGGCCGTCTGTCTCTGGAGCTTTCCCCCCCCCTCCACCTCCCCCTGGTTAAACAAACCTTCAGACCCTGTAGGACGATTTAGCGAGCTGCTGGCCAGGAAGGATGAATGGAGTGCTCCGGCATTGAAGGATGAACTCTTTCTTCCATATTTACAACCTCACAGTCAAATGACTTTCCACAGGGTGACAACAGCCATAGGGTATGCTGTATATGAAAGCAACCCATCTGGGTACTTTCCCTCTACATCAGGGCTCTGACCCCTTTTTGGGTGAAAGTATCTGTCATTTGATTGCCGGTAAATACAGTTTCTGAGGTCTTTGCCAGTCGGGTACAAAAACATTAACAATATGGTGCCCACTAGTCTCTCAGGCAAACAATTTCACAATGTTATTAAGGATCAATGATTAGTGTCAAAACATGGTGAAAAAAAAGGAGATTGAAAGTGACATCAGAGGGGATTGATGTCCAATCAGTCTGTCGGTGGAGGAGTGGACCGATGACCCGAGTGTGATGTGAGGTTTTTAACATTGCAACTGTTTACTTTGACGATTGACCTCATTAGCATCCTAATTAACCTGTGATGAGGGTTTTCCCACAGATGTAATGACTGACTGACCCATTGTTTCAGATTGTTGTCCTCTCTGTGGATGTCCTAAAGCCAAGTGAAAGTAAATACAAATCTCTGGACCTTTTTTTGTTGTTTGACGTGCAATAGATGACACTGCAGCTTTCTTTTTTCTTTTTCGTTTTCACCCTCATGATGCCAGGCAGCGACGCAGCACTATTGAAACATTGATCATCATACATTTCTTCTTTGGTTTACCCCCTGCTGATGTTTTATCCGTTGAAAGGAAGGTTAATTTGGGAAGGCATGCAACACTAACATCTAGAGACGTGGTGTTGTTCAGAATACTAAACGATGGCAGTGCTTTGGCTTCAAAACAATGTCAACAGTGTCCATTTGTAGCACCATCTGTTTAGTGTTTTACGGTACGTCCACACAGCAGCTTTAAAAAAATCTTCCAACGCTTCTCTGCCCATTGACTTTGAATGGGAGTGACGTCACTTTGCCTCGCTTTTCGCCAAACTGCATTGTGGGGAAGCATAGCGAAGATTTCCAGGATTTCCAGGATTTTCAGGATTCAAAAGTTGAGCAATGTTCAACTTTTGAAGCTGAGCTGGAAGCGTCAGCCAATCAAATCCCGTTTATGCAAATCTGACAGTACAAGCGCTAGCCAATCAAATAGCCAATCAAACCGCGTGCAAGCTGGGAGAGACAGACCGCAGTTCATTTCCTCATATTCCAAACGAGAAATTACGGTAGCAAATCACCCGGTTCTTTACGACCAGAACTATTTACCGGGATACAAACCGGAGGAACCAGGCATGGAGGGAGGTGGCAGAGACAGTGGGTGAAACTGGTAGGTTTTCGCCTGTTTGGGGAGTTTATATATATATATATTGCTCGCATAAAATCCCGGGCTATTGCTTTGTATGTCGGGGGCGGGAGATTCATGTGATTGGTTGTTGGTCGCGTTGGTCGCAAAAAATCCCCAAGCTTTCAGACCTCCGAGATTTTCAAGATTTTTTTCAAAGCTGCTGTGTGGACGAGGCGTTAGATCTGAAACAAGTTAGGAAGGTCTGTTTTTAAAAGTACAGAAATCCCTGCTCCGGCTGAAGTAATCGTTGAGTCACTGAGACCCCGTGAAGCTCCTGCAGTCCCACGCTGTGGCCATTTTGTGCTGCTTGGATGTACATATCTGACTTTATGCACCTCAAGAAGAGAGAAATCGAACATCTGATGCCCAGCTGAGGGTGTGAACGGAGGCGGCTGTAATATTTCACTGTTGGTGTTACATATGTCTGTAACTGTGTGGGGGAAATGCATATATCTGATTCATGTGGTGACTGACAGCTTCTAAGGAATGCGTATATGTATTATTTTCCCTTTATTATAGAAATGTCCTTAGACAAAAAGCACTGTGTGTATATTCCATGGATTCACTTTAATCCATACCACATACGGCATTATGCAGCACTGGAACCATGCCAGGGAAAACACAATGCTGCACTGTATTGTTTGGAAAAAAGAAATCGTAAATGCGTATAAACTACGGTTTTACATTGCTCTCACTTGTAAATGGGATGATATTTAAAGAGCTGTGTTGACAAATATGATGTTGTCTGCTTCTCCCCAGCTACAGTATGCCACTGGATGATTTGTAGTACTAATATATTTGTCACACCACATCAACAACGTCATCTGTGGGGAGGGAAACTGCGGTAAAAAGTGAAACGGCAACATCTCAAATGTCAGAAAGTGGAACTTAAAAGCAGCAACACTCGCTTTTATTTCTTAAAGGTGTTTCTGTAACATCTCGATCCAAACTGCTGTAAACTTGCAGTATGATGGGATGTGTCGGGTTCAGAATATTTCAGCATGTGCTGTTTGTCAAATGGGTGACAACTCAATTGGAATTTAAGCTTACAACCAATAACCACATCTTTTAAATAACCCTAACCCAATACATAATTACCAGACAGAAGGCTTTGATCATTGTTTATAGATTAAACCCTGATTCTTCTTTCTTTTTTTGTTCTATACTAAATTGTGAATTACCACAATGGAAAAATTAGGAGCTCAGAAAAAGCTTCTGTTGAAATTGATGGGTAAGAAACTAAAGTAAGAGCACTTTTTTCGGTTAAGCTGCAACAAGAAAAACAGCGTCTACCCATTAAAATGAAATTTAAAAAAAGTACAATTATGCTGTATTTTTATTTAAATGATCATAATGCAAACTTTCTGTGATTGGACCAAACACAGATTGTATTATGTACATCGTCAACCCTTTTTCCTATAATTAATCTGCATTATAGACCGCGTTTCGAGTTTCATTTTTAACACACGTTGTAAATTGAATCAAAACAAAACCGCATCAAAACGACTCAGATTTAGTATAACATGAGGGTGTGGCTTAAAGCATGTACGTTAGGAACGGTTAGGAAGCTGACTTCTGGTTGCACACAGGACATGAATTGCGGCCTCTTGGGTGAGCATGTTTGTTGGACCCTCTCATCCACCCCAACCTCCTCCCTGCACTTTGATTTGATAAGATTTAGGTTTTGGGAAAGTCATTTTTATGAGGCCAGGTTAACATTGTACATTTTCAATACATACCCACAATACTTGTCTGACTAATAAAGAAAACCTTTGAACATCAAAACAGGACTCCACACAATGCTGTGGCAGCTTGAAAACATGGACGCCTCTTATTGGTCACAGAGGGATGAAAGACAAATATACCTTCCTGACCGACTTTACCACAATTGGACATCGCAGTGTTTTTCCCGCTACTGTGTGAATCGCAGTAAAACACTCTATATGGTACTTAAGGATAATGGATTGGCTGTGCTATTACCATAAACAAATCAATCAATGCTCCTCAGTGATGGAGGAAACGTGAGCTCCATGTGTTCGTGAAGCAATCCCCACATGACAGAACAGGAGCTGGCATCACAGCGCTCGCAGTGATTGATATCCTAATACAAGCAGACCTCTCGGAGGAACGCTCCGCTGATTGTTGTGCATTCATGGCATCGCTTCATGTATAACAGCCATCCAATCAGCAGCCGGCTCCTGGATGAGAAGCTGCTCAGGGGAAAGCGTCCATTCAAGAACACATGTAAATCTAACAGGTATCCATCAGCGACTCGCTTTGAATATTTTTCTGCTAAGAGGCTTTGGGGATAAACTGTGTTTTGGTGGGGGGGGCTGGGTGTAAAGACTCCTCTGAGAGGTGAAACCCCCTCTGACTGCATGTGGTCTTTAAATAACAAACACACCGGTGTACGGTGGCCTCCGAGTCCACTGGGCTTCGTTTTCTGGAGCTAGCAATACGAGACAGAAGAACTTGTGACGATCTGCCCGGGGAAATCAGGTCGGCTGAATCAGTGATTACATTATACGGGTAATATATCACATGTCTGCATGAACATTTAAAAGAACAACTAGTCTTATGTTTTATAATATGTTGATTTAAACTTAGATTATTCCAAATGTATATATAACAAATTTCAAACCCAGAAAAACTAAATCTATTTAAAGGGCCCATGTCATGCTTTTCCAGTTATTACCCGTCCCCTTTGTGTTATGAAGGTTTTTATGCAAATGGTCCAATCCGCGGAGCACCTCACACAGCAGGATCCCTTGGCTAACTAACAGGGAGTCCCCATTGACTTGCATAGAGCTCCCTGAACGCTGGTAATAGACGAGTTGGGATGGCGGAGAAATGCTCTCCGCAGACCCATTCTCACAGCGTTATAAACCTTTTTCTTACTAAATATCAAGCCACACTTATTGTTTTTACTTCGGCTGTGAGTGTTTGTGTGGTCAGGATGAGTTTCGCTGTTTCTCGCTGTATCGCCAACCCGGAAACCTGTCCGCTCCTCGCAGCAACGAGCCTCGCAACGTCCCGACCAATCAGAGCACACTGGGCTCACAGGGAGGGGGGGCAGGAGCTCCAACAAGCCGTTTAGGACAGAGAGTGAATACACATACTATACAGAGATGCTGTATGAGAAACCAATGTGAGTTTGGAACATTGCAGAATATAAATCTATTCTAGTAGACCTCAACAAAGGAGATATGATCAGTAGAAATGGCCATGACATGGGACCTTTAAG